TATAAATGTAACTTAGCCATGAATCCTTACATATAATTGGGAAAAAGAAAAACAGAAGTGTACTTTATGAGGAACTCTATGTTAAGCAAAATCCCGAAAGCGTTTATTATCCAACAATAAGTGACCATGTGGAGTCAAAGAAAAGAGGGGAAAAAAAGGGGCTTACTTTTACTTTGTTGATCTAAGATGCCTTTTGGCTGCTCGTTTTGTTCATAATTTAAATTAAGACAACGACTAAATTAGGACAGCCACTTTACTTAGTCCACTAGGAGACCAGTGAAGTATTAATTTATTGTTGAATTTAATTTTTCTATTTCACTATTTAGCTTGAAATAACACAATAAATATTTATTGATTTTAGAAGGTAATTTATTTTGTTTCACTCTGCAAAATTGCTCGGATATAAACTGATTTTGACACTGTCAATAATGACATTCAGCAGGTCGCTACTCTTTATTCAACACTATAAAAATGTATGATTATATCACCTAACTTCAAGTGGTTTTTGTAATTTTTTTCTAGGTCATTATATTCAACCATCAGTGGTGAAATTAAGTTGTTATAAAGTTATACTTTTTTGTTAGAAATATATAATTATATTATAAAATGTCATAATTTAATTCGTATCATATATTATAATATGACCTTTGAATATATATTTATTGAAAAAATATGATTGCTTAACTATTAAGCTGTGTAACAAAAGAACTACCGATATCCACCGATCTTTAACTATATTTCTATGAAATGCTTTCCAACACCAATGAATAAAACAACACTGTACACCACATCTGTCAATGTTATAGTTCATGAAGAAACAACACGAACCAGGTGTATAAAACATGGATTTGAAGAATAGAAAATGCCAAAACAAGAGTATTTAATGAGTTCTATGCAAGATTATGACATCTGTGTATGATTGTGATGTAACACAGTAACACTCAATTATTATTCAAACTTTATTCAATCAAATATTCAAATGTGTCTTTGTTTCTTTTCCTTTTTATCGTCTCTTCTTTTCATTTTAAAATTAAAGGTTACATTAGCTCTTGAAATTCTCTTTTCTTTTTTCAAATTAAAGAAAAAGATTTGCCTCCTCAAAAACACACATTCGGATCCAGTTTACCATTGAATCAAAACATATGCAAGTGTATAGGAAAATAACCAATGATAGTTCACCAAATATATTGCATAGAACTGATATATTGCATCCACTTCTTCATACACGTTTCAAATTTACATCCCGATATAATATTGTTCAACAAATTATAATTACGATTTACTCTAGAAGATGAAAAATCGACTCACGTAATAAACCATGAATGATTCAAAATTCGTGTTTTGCAACAAGTTTGAAATTAGTAAATTACTAAAGCCATCAAAAACTAATATCCTCCCTCAAAAGATTGTCATAATGATAAATCTCATAAAACACGGAAGTTAAACATGTAAATCTGTATCAGAAGTTCACAGAAAATACATCACAAAGAAAATTGAAGTCTTACACAAAGTACAAACAAACCCAAACTCTCACTCACAATAAATAAATAGGTAGCCCATCTAAGCTACCAACAGAGCAAGGCACAATACAACAATTCTATAGAGCAGAAAAAAATATTTCCAGACGGATAAAATATGAATCAATCAGCCGGATAAAACAAGAAAAAAGATTTCAGACAAACGGACCAACCTTATAAAAAGTAAAGGTCAATATTGTGGCTTTCAAAATTTTCCCTCACTAGGCGCCAGAGTGAGACACGGGGCTCGTCACAAATTGGCCATCCTTGTATACATGGACATACTGTTGTGGCAAAGCTTGCTCAACCTGAAAATTAAATATAAAACAAGGCAAAAACAAAATTAAATATAAAACAAGGAAAAGCATATAAAGATCGAGTGCATTTGAAGGTAAGAAGGTAAATAAAGTTTGGACATTACCCAATCATCATCTGGTTTGGAACCAGGTACCAAGACATTGATTTCACTTGACTTTGCAGTTGTAATAGAAGCCTCTAAGGCATCTTTGCTCAAGTACAGTTGGCAGCCTGATGTATTGTCTATTGAAATTGTTGGAGCCGAGCCCTACAGAAGGCGAATTGCGACAGGAGACGGTTTACGGTTATTATGTTTTCAAATTACTTAAAACATCAAAACATTCCTACATGGCTACATATCCAGTTCTCGTCAGGAGTTTTCATTTTTTTATTTTTTTTCCTTTTTTTTTTGGATTTTACTAATGATTAGGGGCATATACGAAACTACTGTACTGAGATNTATTAAACAAGGAAAAGAACAGTTATTACCTGACATTGCACCTCCACGCCACTCGAATTGACGATCTCACAAGCTGCCACAACATCCTAGTCCCCCAAATATTTCAAGATAAAACAAGTAAATTTACCTTATAAAGCATTCAAGATAACCAAGTAATTATTCATAAAATTTAAAGAAACATTGCTTCACCAACCTTGAACACGAGACCCATCTTAGTGCACTTGTCAACCGTAATGTTGTTTACCTTGCCTGCATAGTGAATATATCCCACAATAAGCTTTCACAACTCGCTTGAAGAGAATTTGACTCGATATAAGATTTAGCTACTGGGCCCGACTATCATCGAAGGCCAACAGGTATTGCTAGTAGAAAGATATACCATGGATCTGGAGAACTGAATTTTTGCATCCATAGATGTACACCGACTGTTTAGCATCACAATCATCAATGACTAAATTGTTTCGACCAATTTGGTTCTCAACCACCCATCTGCATACAACACGGCACTTATTTGTTACTAAAGAACTGAAAACCTAGACTTGATGTCTGATGATAACCAAAGTTCTACTCACTTACGACCCATCTGAAGCTCCAATTTCGGTGGACCTGTCTTAGAGAAAGCAGGTGAACTAGTACGACTTCCCTTCTCAGAAACAGTAACCATGCCAGATCTATCTGCACGGTTCTTGGTCTTCATATCATCCGTGACTTTCCTCAAACCTGCAAGTGCAAAATTACATTACCAAAAAAATAATAATAATCAAAATAAACAGAAATATGACAAAAAATGAAGATAATGTCTTGAAATAATAAGGCGCCCACCAGCAGTAACCGGCTTTCCAGAGCTAATTTCCTGGAACACGGCAGACATGCCTTCCTTGGGCCGTGATGATGAAGGCTGATTTGTTTCAGAGCTAAAGAGTGAAGCAGCTGGTGGGGGTGGAGGGGCAGGGGCACCAGGAGCAGCTTTGGGAGTGGGAGCTGTGGCTGCTTTGGTAGATCCTGCTATTTTACCCGTGGCATTCCAAACGGGGCCCAGCGGATAGTGACTCTTCACATAGTCCCTCAAGCCAGGTAGATAGAGCTCTTTTAGAGACTTTGCCCACTCGACGTGGTTTGCATCTTTGTTTCTATACTCCACAAGGATCTACAGAGAAGAGTTAAAAAGAACAATGAGGTAATGAAAATGTGGTGGTTTAAACACTTATCCACTGTTGTAAAACGACGAACTCTTCTACGATTTTACTATGAACCATAGAGCAGTACTATGCTTATCGCAACAAGGTAAAAAGTTCAGAGCACAGTTAAAATTGTACAAACATCTCACTTAGATTTCTTTCATACACCTTGATCTTTTTTTTTTTTTTTTTTTTTTTTTTTAGAAATCTGTAGGTTAATTAATATAACATAAAAGTAAAAATATGTAGGAGTCAGCCAAGTCGATAAACACTTGCAATTTTGGAGAAGTTCTTAGCGACAAGCTTCAACTACGTTCTAGATAAGTTTCCAGGGGCATACACAACTACAAAAAGTTCTGTATATATTTTGCTGGACTGCATAGGAATCACCAACACAAGCAATTTACTGAAGAATGCCCCCAAACCTTTTTAAAAAGGCACAAGCTGTGTTCTGATAAACCTTTTTTAAAAGGCCCAAGCTGTGTTCGAATAGTTCAGAGAAACATAGTCCCCGAGAAAAAAGTTGTAAGTAAGAGCATTCCCAGTCACAAGATTTTACACTGGTTATGCATAAGTCCAAGTGTCCTGCAAGTTCAGTTCCCAAAAACATCTAAAAAATTCATGATGTTCGCTAATGCTGCAAATTCATGTTTCATTACCTATATAAAGTGAGGCTAGTACTGAAAGCATAAATTGTTTGCCGAAAAAACTCAACACCACATTATATATGCCGATATGCGTATGATGCACATGTATGTCAGTGTGTGTAAATGATCCCCATGCCTTATCTCAGAAGATTGTGGCAAACATATTTAATGAGCCCAAGACTACAGCTCCACCTCCTCCAAATATCATTCACTGGAAAAAACCAACATAAGAGAATACAGATGGGCGAGACGGATATTTAGAGGGTTACTACATTTCTTCCTGTGTCCATCTCCTATTTAGTTCTTCTTTGGAGATAGAGGTAATTGCACTCTTTAGTGAACAAAGGTAAAGCATCAGAAATAACCTACCTTGTTACAGTAAAACTCCGCCATCTGCCAACTTTCTTCTACATGTGCAGTGGGCATGCTCATACCTAAATTGACATAGTAGCTGATTAACTATAAAAGAAGAAGACAGAACAGTTAACCAGTTACTAATCAAAGGCATGTGTGGGCAAACTTTTCATACCACAGCCTTTCCCTGAGAAAGCAATCCATGCCAAAGCAGCCAAACTATCTGCACCAGTCTTTACGTGAAGAAAATAATCTGTTCGCCTTCCCTCAGCCAACGCAGAAGCTTTTGCCATCACATCATTCAATGGCTTAAGGAATTCCACCAGTCCTGGATTATCAGGTTTCTGCACATATAGCATGAGAATACTAAGGTTCATAAACCACACTCACACAACACATAGAGGTGAGGTAGGATATGAATAACTGAAAACGCATACCAACAATGACATGCTTGGATATTAGATTATCTTAGTCTAGTATCTCCCACAATCAGGTAATGCAATTGCTTATAACATTC